ACACACACACACACACACACACACACACACACACACACACACAGCAATGTAATTTTCTTGAGCAAAAATAGCTGCAGAAACAGAACAATAAAACAGACTATTTCCTGAAATATATTTTCTTTTACAGTAATAAATGTGTCTTTTTCTGKTCAGCATGGATTGATTTTAATTTTAGTTGATAAAGCAGAATAAAGATTTATGCAGGTGGTGAAAAATTCCTGATCATGTTCTGTGAGCTCTGAACACAACCAGAAACACACAAACCAAGTCTGGATGGTGGAACATGGAGACAATAGCTGCGTTTCCATCGACCATGAAAATGTGCAAATTAGATTTATAGTTTATAATAAGTTAAACTTGAAAAACTGAAATAAGAAGAAAAAAAACAGTAAAGGAGCTGAAATATAGATGAAACAGCATAAAAGGCTAAAATAGCTGAAGTCAAATTAGTAGAATGAAGCACAAAAAGTAAAAATTTGCAGAATAATAACAGAAAAGGGCAGATGTTTAGCTGAAAAAAAAAAAAAAGCTAAAATTTGCTTTAAAAAGTAGCTAAAATTGTCAGAAGGAATTTAAAAGGATGAAAAGCAGAAGATTTTGTGTGAAGTTCAGTAAAAATGAAAACCATCTGCAGCTCTGTTCAGTTCCTGTTCAAACCCACATAAGAACCGTTTGACCCGTCTGGATCAGGACGGGTCCGGCCCCAGGGGACCAGGAGGACTGAAGGGTCCGGTACCTTGATGACGGGGACTCTGGGCTTGAAGCGGGACGACAGCTGGTTCAGGACCTCKGCCAGGAGCTGCTGGTGCTTCAGGACCTTCCTCATCTTCATGATCCTCACGATGGCGGCCTGCAGACCCACAGAACAAAACCTGCTTCATCAGAACCGCTCGGACCTTCTGAACCGGGTCTCTGTGGTTCTGGATCTGACCTGGATMAGCAGCTTGCGGTCCTCCTCGATGTTCTTGTGGGTGGTCTCCTGCTCCTGTTTCTGCTCGGTCTTCATGGGGACGTTGATGTTCACCCTCAGCTTCTTACTGCAGGAGGAAGAGGAGGAGGTGAGAACAGCTGASTCTGCACAACCAGAACCAGAACYAGAACCGCCGCTCACTTCTTGTATCCCAGGAAGAGTTTGATAACCGTGTCGGGTTTGAAGTCCACCTCGTCCACGTTGGCGTTCTCATCCTCCAGGACCTGCAGACAGGAAGTGCAGGTGAGTGACAGCTGTGGCGCCCTCTGATGGTCGCCACCATCAACTGCACACCACAACCACGTTCATCTGGTTCTGGTTCTGTGGCTCACCAGCAGCTTGGACTTCAACAGGATCTGCAGAACCTGGACCAGGATGTCCTGCAGACAGAGAGAGGGGGGTTAGGAAGCAGAACCAGAACCTGTACGGTGGTTCTGCTGGCRTCGGGTCGCTCACAGTCTTGATCTGCGTGCTGTCGGTCAGCTGCTGCACCGTGTAGCTGTCCTCTGTGTTGTACTGCAGCAGGATGGCCATCTGGAAGGTGGAGGCCTGCAGCGTGTACCTGTGCAGAAGAACCGGGTCAGAACCAGCGGGTCAGAACCTCAGAACCTCGGGTCAGACTGGGGTTACCGGTTCTTGAAGCAGTTGGTGACCAGCTCTCCTTTGGACAGGTGATACAGCCAGGTGAGCTTCCTGCCGCTGTGTCTGCTGGCGTAGAACGCCGTGAAGCGCTGGTAGCTCCGCTCCAACTGCACACAACCAGAACCAGAACTCAGACCAGAACCTCTGCCACACACAGTCTAGAGCAGCTGGTTCTGGACCTTACCTCTGAGGGCAGAGCAAAGGTGCAGGACTGCTGGAAGGGCCAGGACCCGGAGCTCAGAACCTGGATGCTGAAGTCCACTGAAACGAGAGAGACACAGAATCAGAACCGGTCCCAGGGTCAGTTCTGAAAGCGTCAGACTGTTCTGGTCCTACGGTCCAGAGGTTCTGAGTTGCTGAGGTGCTTCTTGAACTGCTCGTTCAGGTCTTTGCTGACTCCGATGTCCTGGAACATCCTCTGCAGTTTGGACGTGTACTCGAAGCCGCATGCTTGCTGCAGGAGGAGAGAGGGAGGTCAGAAGCTTTGAACGGGTCGGCTAGAACCCAACAGAACCACACCTTCAGTTTGGAGATCATGCTGGCCTCGGCGTCATCGCTGGCGCTGTTCTGGTGGACCAGACGTTTGGCCAGCATCTTGGCGTAGAACTTCTGGAAAACATCTTTGTCCTCGATGTACTTGAACACAACCATCTGAGGGAGGAGAGGGGCGGGGCTAAACATCAAACTGTTTCACATGACATCACTTCCTGTCCAGGCTCCATTCTCACCACTTGGTTCAGCGTGTCCTCAAGCTCCGCCTCCTCTGGGTTTTTGGAGCTGAAAAGAAAAAAGGTTTTGATTTAGGTAAACAGGAAGTCACTGCTGATTGGACCAAACATCTCCATGGAGACGGACTCCAGATTACACGCTCAATCAGACCAGTCAGATTACACGCTCAGTCTGACCAGACAGATTACACGCTCAGTCTGACCAGACAGATTACACGCTCAGTCTGACCAGACAGATTACACGCTCAGTCTGACCAGACAGATTACACGCTCAGTCTGACCAGTCAGATTACACGCTCAATCTGATCAGACAGATTACGCTTTCAACCTGGTTTAAGATGGATCCAGATTAGTGTGTTCAGGTTTAATCTGGTTTCAGATTGAACCAGATTAGTGTGTTCAGGTTTAATCTGGTTTAAGATGGATCCAGATTAGTGTGTTCAGGTTTAATCTGGTTTCAGATTGAATCAGATTAGTGTGTTCAGGTTTAATCTGGTTTAAGATGGATCCAGATTAGTGTGTTCAGGTTTAATCTGGTTTTAGTTGGATCCAGTTTAGTGTGTTCAGGTTTAATCTGGTTTCAGATTGAATCAGATTAGTGTGTTCAGGTTTAATCTGGTTTAAGATGGATCCAGATTAGTGTGTTCAGGTTTAATCTGGTTTMAGATKGAWCCAGATTAGTGTGTTCAGGTTTAATCTGGTTTAAGATGTATCCAGATTAGTGTGTTCAGGTTTAATCTGTTTTTAGTTGGATTCATGTTTAATCTGGTCTGGATTAGCGACCCACCTCTTCTTCAGCAGAGAGTCGCAGTAGCGGGCCAGCAGCTCGGGGGACTTGCTGGAGGACTGGGCCATCCTGGTGACGGCGTTGTTGTTGATGAAGCGACCGCACGCCTGAGGAGGAACCAGGAAACATCAGAACCTTTCCKACCAATCAGATTGTGTTTCCTGTACAGGTGACCTCTGACCTTATCGAGCGCTGCCACGAAGCCAGCGTCGTTGTTGAAGGCAGACATGACCAAGGCGTTGTACTTCTTGTGGACGTCCAAGGTGGTCTGGACGTAAACTTTGGGGTCCTAAAGGAACAAAACACATCTGTGAACCTTCTAAACCAGTCCTGGTCCAGTTCAGACTGAAAACAGGAAGTCATTATTTACAGCTGACCACCATCAACCAGATTATACCAAACTGGACCAGGACAGCAGACATGTTTGGATCAGAACCATCCTGATCCAGTAAACTCATCTGTTAGCTTACATTGAGCGCCGCCTCGCCACACTTCTCGATGGCGGCCAGGCCCTGGTTGTGGATGTGGGTCTCTAGGAGTTTCTTCAGTTCACCGAGACCGTCTGTGATCCGAGACACCAGGTTGTACATCCGACCCAGATCTGAGAGCAGACGCAGTGTGGATTATAGCTGCTGATAAATCAGGTTAATCTGAGGTTCCTATAGCTGCTGATGAATCAGGTTTAATCTGAGGTTCCTATAGATAAATCAAGTTTAATCTGAGGTTCCTATAGCTGCTGATGAATCAGGTTTAATCTGAGGTTCCTATAGATAAATCAAGTTTAATCTGAGGTTCCTATAGCTGCTGATGAATCAGGTTTAATCTGAGGTTCCTATAGATAAATCAAGTTAATCTGAGGTTCCTATAGCTGCTGATGAATCAAGTTTAATCTGAGGTTCCTATAGATAAACCAAGTTTAATCTGAGGTTCCTATAGTTGCTGATAAATCTGTTTTAATCTGAGGTTTCTATAGCTTCTGATAAATAAGGTTTAATCTGAGGTTCGTATAGATAAATTAGGTTTAATCTGAGGTTCGTATAGATAAATCAGGTTTAATCTGAGGTTCCTATAGTTGCTGATAAATCTGTTTTAATCTGAGGTTTCTATAGCTTCTGATAAATAAGGTTTAATCTGAGGTTCGTATAGATAAATTAGGTTTAATCTG